AACATTATGTAATGTTGCATCAAAATTTGAAGAAACCCCTATTTTGGGCAATGCTCCTATGATGACCATTTAAGGGAAATCATGTCACTTACTGTTCTCAAACTTACAGGAAAGAAACATGGGTCTAACATACAGCTTCAATAGGCAATGCAGTCTGTTTGGTAAATTTTTCTGGCAATTTAACAGTTTTTTGTGAAAATTTAATTTTTCACTTATTTGCATCTTTATTTTCTGTTCTTTGCCTGTACATTTGACAGCTTTGCTGCCTTGTTTATCTACTCAAAAACTAGAGATATTATGTTACCATTAATATATAGAGAAAAGGAAAGTCTTGTGGAAGGAATCACAGAATTCAGAATAAATAATAAATAAGATGTGAAATGTTATAAGCTTGATTTGAATGTGGACTTTGGAATCCGAACTAGAAAGTTTGTCCAAGTAACGTGAAGCTCAGCTGGTCAGTGTTCACTATTAAGTTTCAGCTAATACCAAAGAAAATTCATTTTCACAAAGTTTGTTCAAGTCAAGATATCACAATCATAATTTGAGTTAAAAGATAATGAATTGTGTGTAGTTCTTACAATAATACTTCATTTTATTTCGCAGAGATCTAAATAATTCTTTGCATGTATGATAATTTATTTACTCGGATTCTGTGATCAATATTCTCCTCAGTGGACTGTCCAGTTTGTGGAGTAGCCATTAAGCAGAGGAACATCAATCTCCATCTTGACCAGTGTCTAAACAGGAGTGAAAAAAAGGAGGCTCTCAGAAGGTACCCCCCACCCCCCATAAAAAAAGAATACTTAGTTCATTTATGAATTAGGTAATTAAATATAATAATCATGATAAACTTCTGTATCAAGGAGGTAAAAAAAGCAAGGGCTGTTCCTGCGCATGACCATTTACCTGCAAACTTTGAGAGAAATGTTATGCCCATTCGAGATAAAAAATGTAAGTTGTTTATATCAATATACTTTAATATAAATTTATATAGGAGCCTAGATTTAATCCGTTTGATTGCTTGGCCCCTGCAGGCCAGGTGCGTGTGGTAGGTGGGGTCAAGTGGGGTCAGCCTTGCACTTGTTTACCAAGACTATATATTTACTTATTTTTTATTCAGACATGCTGAAAATTTTTCAGAATGGCCAGACATTTGGACCAGCAGTAATGAAAAATTTGCTGGACCTAATGGATTTTTGTCGGACCGAAAATCACCCTATTCGTTTTAGTCAGATACTACCAGTACGATTAGGGTAGCTTACTTTGTTTGTGAATGTGATAGTTTTGAAATGGAAGGGAAAAATGCTTTGGGCTTTATATAATTTTATTAGTGAAGTATGCTGAAAGATGACTGTTAATTCAAAATTGCGGTTCTTAAAACTCTTGTCGGTCCTGTGGACCGACCAAGTCCAATTTTCTACCGGTCCAGACAAATTTTCCCGGTCATGACCGATCGGACCGACAGTTTCAGCATGTCTGTTTATTTATTTTTTTTTATTTCATTTTATTTATTGTATTTCATTTCATTTCATTTCATTTCATTTCATTTTATTTTATTTTATTTTATTTTATTTTATTTTATTTTATTTTCAGTTCTAAGCCTCAGAAAAGGAAACAAATGGCAAAACTGGTGTATAACTTGATGTCAGACAAAGACATCAGAAAGAAATTAAAAGATATAGGGCTACCATCACAGGGAGACAGGCAGGTTAGATTGTTGCTCCTTATTCAAATTATTATTGCATCAAACTGTATTTTTTGTTATCACTATCATTTCAGTTATCACGTAGGAATGAAAGTTATTCACAAAAAAAAAAAAAAAAAAAAAAGAATGGGTGTTGTATTTATACCCCCAACCAGTGTTTGCCTCTTAGGAAAATTAGTTGCTGGACCGAAAGTCCAGCCATCTTGAAAAGTAGCTGGACTGAATGTCTGCCAGGTGGGAAAACTTCTCAGCCCGTTCTGAAAGTTGTCAGCCCCGGGCAGACGGTCCAGCCTTAATTTCTAACACTGCCCCCAACCCCTCCATACAGAGCTGCCCTTTGGTGCCTGCATTTTAAAGATTTAAAAGGCCTTCTGTCATAGCTGATCACAAATTTGAACAATTAGTGGTAAAGATGAGAGCCACATTAGACACAACATATAATGTGATTAGATTTTAACTGACAAAGCATTATATGTAAATACACAATGGTAAATATCACATCAAACACAATCAGGGGACTGTTTCACAAAAAGAGCATATTGTTGAAAATTGGTCTGAACTTTCAAAACCCCAATATTTGGTTTACATTAGATTGAGATAAATTTGTTTTACCCATTAATTAAGTATTGGTCTGTAACAGTTGCTATGTTTTTCTTTTAATAAAGCAGGGCTAAGTTATATATCATTTAATTGGATTAGTAGTAAATTTCAAAGCAGACTAATTTTTTTGTGACAATTTCAGACCAAAGTTTGTTTTTGAAACCAGCATCAGCTGTTACACCCAAACAAATAAGTTGTCACATCCAATGCAATCAGATGTCATACCCAACACAACAGTTGTCACAACCAACACAATCAGTTGTCACACCTAACACAACAGTTGTCACACTGAGTCAAATTTGCTAAAACATTAAACATAGTAAAATTACCCTTATGATCTTTGCTAATGTTTTTCAGACACTAATTAAGAGGCATCACGAGTTCACAATGCTATATAACTCACAGTGCGACTCACTGAACCCAAAGTCAGGTAGGCAGTATCCACCAGGCAAACTGGGATAATGTACTATTATAATTGTATTAGAATCTCTTTTATTCACCTAGTTAACTGTAGTAATAAGATGGATGGTAGAATGGCTGTCAGCTTTCTTTGGAAGTAAGTAAACAGAACATGAGAAAACCATCTACAGAATAGAGCATTTACTGCCAGAAAAGCTATTAGATTCTGTGCCAAAACCTTTTTGGCCAACTGGCAAGCGAGGCTTTTAAATCTACTGGTCCCAGTGAGAAACAGTGGCCAGAAACTCTACAAACTGACGCTATTGAACTGGCTTGATTTGATTGTTACTGGCATTTTGCTTGTGTTAATGAAGTATAGTGTTATTATTTTCAGCTCAGGAGATTATTAAAGACATGGAAAGACACGAACGTACCAAAAGCAAACTTGCCCTAACAGCAAGCACACAAACTGTGAGTACCCTTATTTTCATCTTTGTTATTTTTTCCTTGAGAAATTAATGTGAAAATTCAGATAATGTGCCAGAGAAAAGCGAATAATGAAACATAAAAAGGAAAGTTTACTCTGTGAAGAACATATAAGAAGGTGAAGTGTGTAATTTTCTTATAAAATTCATCAGTGACAGTGCTTCTGACTGAAAGTGTTAACCCAATCATAAAAGTTGTTTCTTTTTAAAATATATTTCTTTATATATTCATTTATTTTCAGAGACTGGCCTTTGAAAAGGGAGACTCTGCAGAAAATGTGGAAAAAGCTCAAAAGGAGTATGGTAAGACAGAGCATTTGTGCCTACTTCATCACCGTCTAGGTGCAATAACTTTGAGGCACTTTAGACTTTTTTGTAGCAAAGTATAAAACTTCCCAGTAAATATTTCCACTTTTTCCCCCTAATCACTAAGACATACCTTAAACAATGACCAAGCTATGATCTATGAATATTTTTTTGCAGTTTAACTATAGCTTGCTTAAAAACTTTTGTTAGACATGAAAATTCATTTTAAGGCTTAATAACGAAGAGCTTTTCCATTTATTTTCAGTCAAGAAACATAAATCTCAGTTTGATGATCTCATTGCCAAGGCCAAGGCTAACATGAAAAAGAAGAAAGCTGAAAAAGAAGCCTCATCAGCCAGTCGTACTGTTACAACTAGCAATGTACCTGAAGGGACATCATCAACAATAACAAGTAATGACACACTAGATGCAGATTCTTTGACCTCCATGACCTCTATGACCTCTGTGACCTTCATGACCTCTGTGACCTCCATGACATCTGCAACCTCCATCACTACTGCCACTCCTGCAACAAGTGATTCATTGTCACATGGACATCAGTATTCAGATAAGGATGTAAAGGGAACAAAAATATCATTTGTGAAAGGAATTAAAAAGACAAAAGATTCAGATTTGTCTACTGATGCAACTGTGACAAAGACAAACTCATTACTAGCACAAGAGGAAAAGGAAAATGTGCTTAAAATTGGAAAAGTGGAAGATTTTAATAGTTCAAGGACATCTAATATCCTTGATGGTTCAATAACTCCACCTCTCATTGACTCAGACCCAGAAGAAGAAATTGATGGAGACGAGGACAGAACCCTTGGATTTGACCCCAATGTCAGTGTCAATAGCAACCGTGTTTCTGGTGGTGAAAACCCAAGTGCACCCCTTGCCACTGGTGTTGTAGACCCTAATGCACCCCTTGCCATTGGTGGTGTGGACCCCACTGGCAGCTGTCCATCAAATCCAAGTCCTGCTGCCAGTAGCACGGATGATTTGATTGACAATATCGTGAATAGTCCTCCTGTTACAAATGTGGACTACATTGATATGCTGGTGAATGGCAATGTTGATGTTGGCCAAGTTGATGACAGTATTGATAATTTATCCAGATCTCCAATTTTGCATGGGGAAGGCTCTCCTGTGTTTGAGAGCATAGAACGAAGTGGTGATGGAGATGGTGTGAAGGATTGTCTTGACAGCTCTCCCATATTTGAAGGAAACAATGCTATAAAATTCAAAGATCATGCTTGCGGAAAAGGTAATGCGGAAACAAGTGCAAGTGAACTGATTGGAGCCAAGTCTAATGTTGAAAATGAAAACTTTGAATCAGGTTCTGGTGTATTTGAAAGAAATTTTGTTTCAGAAACAAACCTTGGTCAGAATCAAGATCTCCAGCTTAGAACAGAGAGTAGGAATACAGATTTGAAAGATGGACATCCTGATAATGACATGAATATTAATTCTCATGATGTACACCAGAAAGATGAGGAATTTGGAAACTTTAATCTCCTAGACTCGAGTCCTTTTTTCCAGTCACTTGGAGGATCTGACAATAATAGTAACACTTTGAAAAATACTGTAAGAGGAGGTGAGATTTAACAAATTCTTAATTGTGTTTGGAAAAATGCTTGTGTAGAAGGATTCATATAACTGTTGGTATTGTGTCAGAATTTTTATTATACAAAATTAGAAACAATTACATTAGTTAAGAAGTGTAAAATGTGTCTCTTTCTGTCATGGCTTTAAGTACACATTCTTTTAAATATTAAATACTACTTATATCATAGTCACGTGATGTGAACTCATTGATTTGAATTTATATTTGTTATTCGGTATTCCCTTTTTTTGTTAGACAAACAGGAAAGAAACATGGATGACATAAGCCTCTCTGGTACCAGTGATAATTCTAACCAGTCGGAGTCATTGCTTCCATCTTCTTACATCCAATCTGCACAGCCTGAGCAGGATTTATGGGTCAGCCAGGGATCAAGGTCATCTACTGGGTCAAGGTCATCTGCAGGGTCAAGGTCATCTAAGACATCAAAGACTTCTGTTGAAGTTGATTCAACATTTCAATCTGCAGTCACTGAGGAAACTGTTAGAAGGTCAAAGAGGGGGAGAAAACAGTGAGTTGTCGTGCCGTAAAAAATTATATGGAATCTTATTCGTTTCCAAACCATCTGATTCATTTTGAGTGTAGTCTTATGTCCGTGTTTCCAGCAATAATAGTTATTCATCAGAATTAAAGGTTTAATCTTCCTCTATTGTTTACTTATTAATTAACATTTTACCTCTTACAACCGAGAAAAAAAGAAAAAGAACTGCCTTATTTGAATCACAATAAAGGATACAAGTATGTTTTCAGACAAAATATTGGTCAGTAGCTTCAAAAGTATACCTTTTACCTCAGTAAAGTTATATGAGACATCAGAAAGCAGTAATTAAACCAAAAGCACGACATTTTTTACTGGTGATTATGTGAGAACCTTGCTTTTACAGATCTGTAGACACACACCCTGATTCTGCCAAGTCGACAGGGAGAAGAGGAAAGAGAAAGCAGCCCGCAGTGCCTGAGCTTAGTCCAGAACCAAATCAAACAAGAAAACTGAGAAAAAGGACAAAATGAACCCATCCAGGATTTGCACCTAAAAAATCTTCCAAGGCTAATGAAATTCTCAAGTGTTTAACATGATCAAGTTGTCTTTCCATTTCAGTGAGAGTAGAGTTCATTTTGCATTTGTTGTCAACATGAGGTATATTTTACCAAAAAGTGCAAGTTATTCAGGAGCCATTTTGTAGCTGTGTTCAGAGCATTTTCACACAAAAATGTTTAAGCTCCAAGCTCAAAATACTGAGGCCAGTTCCGCCAAATAACTATCAATAAAGTCTTAAAGTTGCTCAAACTTCTTGAACAAAACTCTCGTCTACTTCAACAAGTAACTGAACTTTGACAAATCTATCTTAGATCAGAGAAGTATAAAGTTCTGTTTGTGAAACAGACCCCTGCAGTCTGGCAGCATTTATACGACTACTTAATATGTCAGTTAAATGATGCCAAAGGAAAAGCAAGTATTCATAAAAAGAAATGAGAATCATGGTTGTAATTAAAAGTAACATTTTATTGTTGTCTTACAGTGGTATCATGTGGAATGTTCTCGAGTTTCATAAACAGATTATGTGTAAAACAGGTACCAAATAAAACAAAATTCTACACATTTAACAACTGCATAGTCATTTCATTTTGTTTGTGATCAGATTACAAAATGGAAAGTGAAGAGTCGATGTGGAAGATACCAGCACCCTGACCAGCTGTTATGAATAATCTTCATGGCTGAAGATGTGTTTTATTTATTTTCATTTATGTAGCACCTTCACTCTTCTTGCTATGCTGGAAAACATTAACATTGAAGAAATACTTCATGCATTGAAGAGTCCTTATTGCAACTGTATTCAACTTATAATAATGAGTTCCTTTAAAAAAATGGCAAAGTCTTTGTATCAAAATAAAGCAATATACATGACAGAGTAGCTTGTGTGGGCATAAAGTTCACAATATTCAAACTGCATTAATTTCATAAAAAAAATCAGCATTGTTTAGTGAAACAATGAGGCTAAAATCAGCACTGTTAAGTGAAACAATGAGGCTAAAAATGTAAGATATAGCACTAAATTTTAGTTCGAAATAAATGACATTTTGCCTTAATGCATTAAACTATTGAAAATTCATCATATGTGGTAGTTAACAATAATTAGACCCTCTCAAACCTCCAATACTCATAGAAAAATTGATGTACTAGTAAGCTTAAAATGCATAAAATAAAGAGAAAATAACATCAGAGCTCGTCCCTCTCAGCTGTTGGTTTGATTTGCTTGTAGTTTTTGTTTCTTTTTGGTTTAAATTTCAGAAGTTTGGCATATTGTTTCAGGAGCTTCTCCCAGTAACATTTCACATCCTCCATTCTCAGGTGGTCCCATATGAACTGACGTCCTCTGTAATGAATCATATTCCAAGATAAAGAAGTCCATAAATTTCCATATTTGCTATAAGTGAACAAAGTTAAAGTTACCACATAACTGATAATTTTTTGGACCAAACATACAGAAATCAAGTTTTTTCTTCCTTCGTTATAAAATGACACATTACATGATATGTATTACTGTTTTAAACTTTACATCCAACCACTGTATGCAGTTCTTCTAAGTCCATACCTTTTAGCAATCTCTCTAACAACATCGTCATTAGCTTGTGCAAATTCCAGGAGTTCCCTAAAAATAAGTTAAGAACAGAAAATGTTAGCCTAGAGGCAACCTTGTATTAATAATATCATCTGATGTTGAAAAACAAAATGAACAGTGAATCAAATATTTATTGCAATGATCAAAATTGCATTAATTTTGCTTGCAAGATAAAAGAGGTCAAAAGTGAAATGATATTTTACAGTGTCACTGAGCAACATTCTGGAGATCCCATTTTACTAAACACGAGCTTTTAGAGAAGGGCATTTTAAGAACTTAAGGTAGATAAATGTTCCCCAAATATATATGGAACAAACTGCCTTAAAATATAGTGAAAATACTGAAAAGTCACAAAAAAACTATAGAAGTATTTTACTTTACCCCCAATATATATAATTTCATAGATGAAAAGAGTTGAAAATATACTGACACTAAAAAAATTATAAAAAAAAACAGGGCCTGTTTTCATAAAGTCTGGATAGCGCTATCCTCTGAATAAGCTATCCAGCATTTTTAACCACTGGTTAGTGCTATCCAGCCTTGAGGAAACCTGGCCCTGTTTTTTTTTTTATTTTTTTTTTATTTTTTTAGTGTCAGTACATTTTAAACTCTTTTCATTTTTGCAAGGCACATCAAGATTTCACTGGAATTCCCCTCATAACAGTTATAACTGAAATACTATCACTGTTATTATCATTATACTTACTGAACATCTGAGAGATCTTGTTTCACAGGTATATAATGGACCCACGGTTTCATTGCTGGGTAGAAGAATTCCAGCCATTCATCCCCAACATGGAATACTACAGAGTCGCACAGGAAGAGATGCTTTAACCTAAAACTGGCTGCTACTCCACGGAAGTTGAACAAATATCTGAAAATACATGTTTATGCAACTTTTAAGAATTACAGCTAAATACTGACTACAGAAACAAAAATAATATCATAATGCTTATTTTGTACACATCAATGCTTATTTAAAGGGCTTGTATCCAAAATTAACTAGTTTTTCAAAGAAATGCTATTACATTCTTGAGGACCACACACACTTAGACTAGAGATAGATTGCTGAAGTAAATATTAATAAGAATTAATTTAAAATAAATGCATTGAAATAGCATTACTTTACTGTTACAGTAATACTTTTCATCAGTCATTTCAAAATATAGTTAATTCACTAAAAAATCTTACAACTGAAAGCAGGCTTAAACTTAAAGCGTAAATTCTCTACTTTGACATTTATAAGGTGGCCCTGTCCGCTATACCACCTTGCAGTCAGTGAGTAATAACAACTACTCACATCAGTCTGATGAAGACCTGCGTCCAGGTTGGCCATGAGCTAACGGTATGAATGTTTTTTAGCTTGTGTTTGATAATTTTCATTTATGATTGTACCTATTGTATGAAAAGTAAGCAATAGCTAATATAAGAACTGTAAATTTAATATTCCTTTTCAAAGGAGCCTGCACTAATTTAAAATCAGACTTTCAGTCTTGCACGATACTGGACAGTCCTATATGCAATGTAGTGGCTATGCACAGCCTCTAACAGCTACCTACTTGTATGGACAGTGGTCCTCCAGCTTGACCTCCTGGGCAGGGGGCATATGGAGCGTGTCCTGGAATGATGACCAGAATCAGTAACTGGCTATTTCATAACTCTGGTATTTTTTCTTCAGAATCAGAGATGTAAAACGAATAAATATTACATGGTTGAATAAATGTATAAGCGAATGAATAGATTAACTAACTGATGAATAAATAAAAAAATTGACTTAATTTATATTTTAAATATCTATAAACAAATAATTTTAATCAAAAAATAAAAATGAAGGTCAGTTCCTGACAAAATGTGTCTGGAGTCTGCAGTAATGTAGAATGAGTTAAAAATTACTTCCTCAGTTAATATAAGAATAATTCTTAGATAACATTTCACAGTTTATATATACAGAGGTCTTTGCGTAACTGGACAACATGGGAGCTGAAAATTTGTTTGAATTATGAGAAGATCCCAGTTGGGCAATAAACACAAAATTCACCTTGTACTGATTCAGCAAATATATATACCCCATGATTTTATCACGATAAATGAAGATCCACGTTATAAGTTATAATGAGTTAAGCAATGTCTACAGTATATGATTTTCACATCTCATTATATGTATCTCGAGATCTCAGCCTAGGCGCTATATGTGTGAGAACAGGTATTTAGATTAAAACTTTCTTACCAAAGCCATATCAGACATAGGTTCAAATGTGGGTTAGGTCAATATTTTTTGTAAACAAAACAGATAACATACCAGGTAAACTGATTGCTTAAGGAGGAAATAGCGCCCAGTATATAGGGTGTGTTTGTACACACCTACTAGTACAGTCAAACTCAATGCAACACCAGGCATCCAATTTCTTATAATGCCTATATACTGACAGTCAATGAAAACACATCAGAAAACTTTCTTGTACTGAGAATCGATTCCAACCATATAAACGAGAACAAATGCACTTGTTTGGTCATAAGAGAGTCACGTTGTTTGACTGAATAATGGGTCATATTTCACATGGAAACTGTTATTTTCTTAATGTTCCAAAGGAACTTAAATATTATTTGATAAATAAATGATGCGTTTTCATTGACTGTTAGTATATTAACTTTGAGTGCCTTCCCTTTCCCCCCCTTTCTCCTTCAAATTACTGAGGAAAAATCTGCCCATATTTCCTTTTGCATACAGTAAAACATGAAAAGGGTGTCTTTCTCAAAATTTCCTGCTAAATCACCATTGTTGTTGCACATAACACATATAGTAACAGATGTGTCAGAACGCAATACACAATGAAGTGAAAACATAACACACCACAAAAGTGAATTAAAATACATGCAAAAAGACACACAACAGACAATGGCAATAACAGACATGCCTCATTTCAACTTCATGAATGAGGCACATCACTTACCTTGTCTGACTTCCATGCTTGGTTTTTAGTGTATTGTGCATCGACTAGATCAGGCCTTTTTCGCGACAGCAGTATAAGCGGATCTCTCTCATCACTGGTACGGGAGCCGATGAAATACCCAAGATTTTTCTTTTTCTCCCACGGCCACTGTTCGGCTTTTCTGATAAAAACACAAAGTAAAACATAATATATATTACATCTGAGCAACAGACCAAGATTCATTCACAGCTGCAGCCAGCTGGGCTATACTAAACAAGATCTATGACTGAAATTTTAACCAAGGCACTCATAAATATCATAAATAATATACAAAACCCATGTAAGATTAAGCCCAGGGTTGGCTGTATGATAATTTGGGGTTGGGAGGGGGACAGTTGTAATAATATTTACTTCTGTACAATCTCCAACTCTTTTAAGAAACAAAACTCATGCAGTTGGTAAATAAATTAAGGTCAGGGTTGGTACCAGATTAATTGGGGGAGGTGCTTTAAAACTTACTCTGGTATCACCTCTCTCATGAGATCCCACCTTCCTATGCCCTTGGGGTACACCGAAATGAAAGGCCCTCCCTCCCAAAATGTCCAAGCAGGGTACATTATGTCATACTGCTCCTTAGTCTACAAAAAATATAAAAAAAATTATAAAAAATCTGTTAGAGGGCGTCACTTACTTTGGGATAATATCCCGCTGCTGGTCCCAGCGACCCAGTCCCGTGGGATAAATTGGCCACACAGCAGGGCCTCCTTCCCAAAATGTCCACGCTGGATACATTATGTCGTGATGTTCTTTTCTCACCTGATAATTATTATAATATACACAATATTTACTGATATTGAAAAATAATGTTGTTAAAGTTACAGCAATACTCATTTAAATGTTTTATAATGGCAAGCATAAATAGTTTCCAAGTGGACAGCAGTATAAATAAATAATAAAATAAAAACATGAATTACTAATAAAATAAATAAATATTCAATTAGTTTACCGATTTATATAAATAAAACTTAACAACCAATAATTATGCTTCATATAAAAACATGATTGGCATCAAACATACACTATAATATTACTAATTTGCTAAAATTATACCAAATAAATTAATCTGACTTATGAAAAAGAAAGAAGAGTTTGATTCAAAATATAGATAAAAATATATCTACCTTACTAAATGAAAACACAGGCAGGGGATCCCAATACTTGGGTGACTGTGGATAGTCCCTTGTGTTCAGTATAAACTCCATGTCTGGAAGTTTTTTAATAAGTTCCAGAACAAAGTGCTCTACACCACTACACCTGAAATAAGATGATAAAAATTACCAATGGAAGTTCTCAATAAAACATTGTCATACAATGTGATATTCATTACAAATTAAAATCAGTGGAAGAAAAAATCCAGTAGAAGAATTAAAAATAATTACATATTTATGTACATAGATTACCTCAATTATATTTGGAAACTCACAACAAAAAATGTCAAATATGAAAACTATGTGAGACTGACAAAATTATGACTATGTAGTGTGACTGTTAGTGCAGTATTGATCAAACCATCACTTGTTTCATTGTCTTTTTTCTTGTTACTTGCACAATGTAAAATGTGACCTTATATCAGAGCTGACTGGGGAGTTTTGAGCATAAACAAGAAATAGTTGTGTGTGTCTTTCCATCTTTTGTTTTCTGGGAGAGCAACATCTATCTTGATTGGCATATTACATATGTGACACTTTGATTAAAAAGTGAAATTTTAAAAAAAGTACATGCAGGTCCTGACACAACTTTCCTATCTAATTTTAATTGAAATTAAAATATATTTAACTTGGACTAACCTAAATTGAAACATGCAGTCATCTTCTCTATACAGCTTGTGGTTGATGATTTGGTAGTGAGTTCCGCGTTCTTTGGCAGCATCAAATTTTTCTTTCAAGATTCCTCCTGCTTTCTTCCATACTGCTAAGTCTTCCTCAATAACCCTGCAATTAAATCACAATGTTATCTAACCAAATCATAAGTATTATTAATGATGCATCTCTGAAGATCTACTTTGCACATGTCATATGTAACTGGATTATATAGGACATCTGTAAAGTAGATCTTCATAGATGCATCGGTAATAATACTTATTTTTCCTTAAAGATCTATACGGTGAATTGACATGAATCTTTGGACTAACCAAATCATCAAACACTTTTGTTTGAAATCTTACATGTGAGAAAAAGATGGGTGAGTTATTGGGAAAGTCATGACAGAAAAAATATAGAACTCAAAAACAGGTAAAACGATAATAATTTCCTTAACAATATTGGGAAGGGTTTATCTTGGATTAAGGGGGAATTATTAAGTTTTCAGGAAATTTTTATTTAAAATTTGCTACATGAAAATCACATGGCTGTACATTGTGAGCATTTTAAGTTGCACTCAGTAATATTCTCAACAAATTATGTGTTATTCTATTGCTAACATTATAAAATAATAATTCCAAACATTTAATCTTGCTTGATGCTGATGTACTAGTAAGCATTCTTCACATGAATGTGTTTGCTCAAGTGATAACACACCATACAAAGGACACAGAAAGCTCAATTCTCCACAGTCTACTACCAACATGGGATAATCTCTCTCAGTATTTGCTTCCCCAGAGTATGTAGTAAGTGTAGGCGATGTAGGCCATCTTTGAAGTGTTTTCGTGCATGCCTTTTCCCTTGTGATATTTCATATTATGTAGACTATAATATATAGTACTTACTCTGCATGACAGGAACAATCTTCCTGGATACACTCCTTATAATTTTTCACTGCATTTTCAATTTTCTTGTAATATTTTTCCCATCGAGGATCTACAAACACAACAACAACAATAATAACAATAGCTATGCTCAATAAGTAAATATTTTATAATATCAAGAATCTTAAATCTTGACCTGTTCTGTAAGCATTGTTTGGTACATGATTGGTAAAGAAAATGAAAAAAAACTAAAAAAAAAAAAAAAAACATTGGAAATACACTGAAATAGGTTTTTCGTGGTATCCTCAGCAGTGATGATAAAAATTAATTGTTTCATCTCTTTAGAAACTGCCTACTAGTATCCAAAGGTCAAACCACTTAAGAACAGCTTTACTTTTGATGATAATGGAAATACATAATGGATATATGCCAGCAGTAAAGATGTTGGTACCTTCATCTTTGGTGTGCAGAAATGAATATATTCAGTAAACTTATAACACAAGATGTGGCTAAAACACAATAGTGGCTATGCAAAAAGTGACAACAATTGCTCCACAGCATTCCAGTTTGAATTGATTTTTATTAAAATGGGTAGCAAATTCTGACTTGAGTTTCTCTTAAACACTAAAAATCATGTACAACTTTGACATGACTTACAAAATTTAATTAATTATTTAAAAAAATTCATTCCTAAGCTTTGCCAGGATAACGGTACTGTTTACTCTTTTCAATTAAAGTTACACTGATTTGTTTTTTTTTCTCAAAACCATGAAAAAAATAATGAGTCAAAAATATAATGACAAACACACATGTACTAATACATAAACGTAAGCTTAGCAAGGTCATTACCAATATTTTAATTATTACAATAATTGGATAACAGCAATACAATGGCCAGTGACATAACCTACATTTCCCTCAATGCATAAACAGCAACAATAAATAGCACTGTGACTTGCGGCAATGTTAGACCTTACTCTGTAACATTTTTGCTGCAGTTTACATGTAGACATAGCGTGTAAATATACATGTAGCACAGGCAAACTGCAGCAGCTGCACAAGCAGACACGGGCTCAAACAGGGGCGACGATTCGGCGACCGGTGTAACACCAAACCAAGAAAATTCCATCAAATGAAATAGCAAAACAGTTCAAATGCGAATTCAGCGATATTTACCTGTCTTGGTTTCTTTATCTGAGATCGACGTCTCGACATTTAGAAGTAAAAGTATCGCCACCGCTCCGACGATCCTCAGCAGCGTGTCCATCGCTTCACACCGGAAATGCTCTTTTTCTAAACTTCTTTGTCAAAAGAGTGGCGGTAACCAATGACGCCATGTGAGATTAACAGAGCAAGTAGGCGCAGGGAACTCGGCTGAGTACTAGAAAAATTCAGGAATGATGTGACCAAAGTTATTGGGATCATTTGACACGCAGTTGAATATTTACATCTGACATAGATGGAAAGTTGAGGACACACACTTTATTTTCACGTGGAGTTAAAGGTTATTTCACATCGAGTACGACCACACTTTCGAGCCCGACCAACAGTATAACAGAACATAAATATTCGGAATATAATTGAAAATTGTACGAAATGAGTAAAGCAATTTTCGAGCAGAATATGATTCAGTCTCATGACAACATAAAATGTAGCTGATACAATAAAGCTGCAAAATGTGATGGAAAATGAAAAAAAGACCGATTCTACGGGTGGTAGGCCTACAAGGGACACAGGTGACACGACCCTCAGTGACACACATTATCTTCAGGATCTTGCCGAATGCCTTGTTATGGCCTTAACAATATTGGTGGAACAACGTCCTCAAGACCCCATAGAAGCCTTGGGGTTGATGCTTAGGAAACACGGAATGAAACTACGGGCGGAGAGGGCACAACAAAAACTGGCACCGGTACATACACTGTAGTATTAGTCGAATAGTGACTAGGAAATTGTTCCCTCTGGCATTATAATAGGCTGTCCCTTTTAACTTTGATATTATACATAAACATGAGAGTTAACGCATGAAAGCCCCCCCCCCCGGCCCTATGCTACTACATGTGCGCCTATGAGGTGAATATAAATATGCGAATGTTAGCAAGTACGTACCACATATACATGTACATGTAGCGCCCCCAGAACATTGCACTAGTAGCTTTGATAACAAACGAGCAGGCAAACAGATTTCTGAATCCATTTGGAAAATCATGGAAATAGTTAAATTCAGTAATAAAACTGTGATGAGGTTTAAATAAATTTTCAATCAATTGATTAATTGTTAAATTGCAGGTTTCGAGTGCAGCGTTTTCACAGCCCGCAGTTGTGACGTCAGCACCAGTGACTTCAACATCAGCTGTGACGTTTGCCAGTATCACCCATGAAGACTGTTTATCATGTATACAGGAAATTGGAGATTTATTTGACGACGAAGACATAAATTAAGGCCTGTAAAAGAAGTGATGTAGCCTAAAATTATAAAAAGGCCACAAGGCAACAAATACTTTTTATGTCCATTACAGACAGGGTATATATACCAGTACTTGTTTCTATGAACTTTTTGTTACAATACATGTACATGTGTACAGGGCATAATGCGAATGATTCGAGGCCGACAAATGATGAAGTAAGATGACTTGGAACAGTGAATCAAAAATGATGAAATAACAGACGACCCTTTACATCGTGTAAGAATAATTTGATAATCACAGAATACCATATGACGTGCCATTATAGACAATTCATCGTGCACGAGTTTATGTGTGTAATGTGCAGTAATAAAACATCGTCTATCAGTTATAGTTTGTACAATGTGTTTGATGTGTTACCCTAGATTTATTCTAACTCGCGGTGAAAGCAAAATAAAAGTTATCCATTTAATTATTTGGAACGGACAGAAACAAGAGAAGACAAACAGCATCTGGCAGTTCAATATAATTTTATTATTATATTTTAACTAGAATTACTCACAAACGACATTTAATTTATGCAGCTAATGCCACCATCACCTCTATCATCATCATTATATTCTTCATCACCGACTCGACCGTTGCTCTCCGGTATTGGAGTCTTCAGCTTAAAATTTGAGCTTTCCGCTCTGACCTGGTGTCTTCAGCAGCCCATCAATGTAAGGCCACATTCATAACAGTAGGTTAACTAGTCCGAGGGTCAAATATGTCCGACCCACTTGAATACTTCCCCACGGAGAATCTATTCAGTGTCTATTAGCGGATAAGACGGCAAGCTTTTTTATTGGGTCGCCATATTTGACCCTCGGACTAGTTAGTCCACTGTTCTGAATGTGACCTAAGTCTTCCTTCTTAGCTCATGTCAGACATATAAAAACACTCACCGGTCAAGTGGCCTTTACACTTATGCCCTGACATGGCACCTTCAGAAACGGCAAGTGTCCTTCACTTCTGAAGGTGCGATTGCATTATATGAAAGATGAGAAGCGACGATGTAGATAAAAACTTTACCAGCTCGCTGGCAAGTCGTATAACGAATTATCTTTATATCTGAAGATTTGTTACATCCCGATATACTTTGTTTGTCGATGTCGTCGCTGTTGCTGTCGATGTCGCTTCATAACTAACGCGTTTTTTTCCCTTAATTTTTTTTCGGTTTTCGTGTGTTAAAAATGACTTGGTTTTAAATTCAGCACAGTGGTAAAATACACTCCGGCGCCCCTTGCCTATCTTTCTACTGTGGGGTATAACGCAACTGCAATAAATTATATAATAAAACGCATCTTCTACTTCTAAAAAGGTTGCTCCGTACGCCTCCAATTTCAGGCTGTTTTTTTTTTCTTTTCTAGCAAATGATTATATCACAGCCGTTAATTGTTTTAAACAAGGGTATACAAGTAGGCCCCTATATTCAAGATACAATATGCAATATGATTCATTTTGTAAACAATACTGCTGTAGATATCCACGTCTTATGCTATTTCAATTTTATATAAATTTAGAAAAATACACCCTCTGACATTGACTTCCATGAAGATTTAAAAAATATGCCAAATGTAACCATATTTATACCCAATTAGCATCAGAAAGTGCTCTTTGAAAGTTAAGTGTAAAAAAGCGTGTGTGTCAATCTCGTTGACTAGCTCAGTATCCCCTCATGAAATCGACGTTAATGCGCACTGGAGCATAAGCACGTCAGCGGTAATAGGCAGGTAAGAATTTTCTTCATTATTACCGCTGCCATTGTCTGTATGAAATGAATATAAGATATGCCACTTATATATAAACATAAAGACGAAAGATCGACGTATGAAGATACTGCTCATACAGTATTTTTGGGCTTTTGTTGGCCTATTACAGAACTTCGTACAGTACGAGATGTAAGCTTGTTTTGGTCGGCGGAATAACAGCCTATCAACAAAAATGCATGAGTAGGCCATAAAGATATAGCTATGAGAAGAATACTTGTAAAAATATTTCTATCGGTGTCAAGGTCACTATTAATGCATTGATTTAAATGTAACTAAAATTTTGAATGCCATCGCAAAAATAAATTTATTTTGAGGAATTGTTTTACTCACTTATTGGACTTATTAGAGGGCCTGTGACGGCCCGATATGTCCGAAAGGCCAGATATATAGGCCTAACCTACGACCAGAGAGGGCCAGATAGAGACACGTACATCTGGACACATCTGGACACATCTGGCTCTTTTTTGTCGGGCATATTTGGCCTGTCGGACACATCTGGCTCTTTTTTGTCGGACGTATCTGGCCTTCACTGGTCGTAGGACTTGCATAATCAGGGAGATGTGTATAAAGTATTATTAACTTTGATCCGTGAATTGATGATTTTATTGCACGTGAACTGTGATCACCCCCCCCCCCCCAATTGGGGCCCTCTTATTAAAGCCTTCCTCGCATTTTACAAAAGTATTTAAACAAGCATCAATCAATGTTGGTATTAATATGTATATGCTACTAGTAAAGAATATATCCGCCTAGCTTGGCTCATACAAGATACCACAGCATCATTACAAAGGCTCATCGATTGTTTGACAATTTTTTGTCGATAGCCGTGACAAAAAGGCTTACGAGTAACTTTAACCCAGCCATAGAAGCATCCGTGTACGAAGTATTGAGCATGCGAGTTGTTTGCTATTATATAAAACAAACATGCGCATTTGAAATAAAAAATATCCAAAACTATGCTAAACTTTCGTCCGCATGCTTAATTTTATTTTTGAATGGCCGCATTGGCAAAATGACAATAATAATAGAAACAAATCGAAGAGCCAAAATAAATGACCTTCAATAATAATAATAATAATAATAATAATAATAATAATAATAGCTCAATAATAAAATTGAATGATAATTAATAGGAAAACAATACAACAGTGAGAATTAAGGCAAGCGTACTGTGGATACTTTTATAACTTTGTTCAAATAAACTAACACCGCCACTCACAGTGCAACCCTGGATTCTAGAGAAGTCCAAACAATGGCATTTCCAGTTACGTATAAGTTTCCGTAGGTAATGCTTTCTCTTTGGCCAAGAGATTCTAACGCGGCTTTTGTCTCGTTATGCGCGCGCATGCCTTACCAAGAACTGTTCCGCTTACGCAGAATAGGTCGCTTACATGGAAGCAATATAATAACGCATTTAATGAAGTCGATAACGTTGTTTGTTTATTTTGGATGTCGGTGAAGATAATAATAATGCACAGCCTGATGGAACTCTTACTGGTTATGATAAGAATAATAAAATCTGTTCTTTTGGTGATGTGAATAACATGGGAGAAAATTTGAAGCAATTAATGTATAGCCTACATGTAGGCCTCTGTGGCCTACTAGAAGAATACAATCAATAGATCACATTGATGGATAATTATCAAGGGTTAGCATAAATATATTTAGTAATCAGAGGTTAAAAAAATTGCGAATGGATATTTGTACATTTTGATTATTTTTTTTTTACAATACATGGCTTTTAAGAAATGGCCGTAGGCCTTCATCAAACTGACGTGAGTATATATAGTTTTTACTGACCCCTAGGTAATATAGCGGCCAGGGCCTAATTGTAGCCTAAATGTCAGGTAGGCCGTGTTTGCTGCAAACTAACAGTAGGAAGAAAAAGTTCCAGCTAATTATCTATGAAAGAGCAAAATATTGATCAGCTTGGTGTACATGGGGATACTTTAGCCCGGAGATAGTTAATTTGCACACAAGGAAAATACATGTATTATGAAGGTTAGGCTACTATTAGGCCTACATTTTAGTTTACGGCCAACCTTGATTAAGGCCATCATCGGATCGACTCAGTGCCCGCATTAGATGTTAATAACTATACATGTACCCTAAAAATGACCGCTAGATTTGCCAACCTAGCAGTTTTTTTGGTAAGATTTGCCCCATCTGATGAAGGCCTTGGCCCAGCGTAACGTGACACAGTGTCCCCCATGATAGAGAGTGCGCTTCCCATTCATTTGTACAGGTAAGCTTCGCCCAAAGTTTTGACCCACTTAAGTCAGGCTAAACCGAATCAAAATAACTAAATGGAGGGCGGACTTTCTATCCAGGCCAAATTTGACCGTAAACTCACATGTAAATATCACAATGTTTGCTTGTGAAAAAAATATTTGGAGAATTCCAATAATCGATAACATGTTCAATGTTATTTTGAGATAAGACTCCATTTACTTGTCCTGATTGGACGTTTTACTCTCAAACTTCGGAGAGCTTTCAGTATTGTTATCATATGTACCGTAGTAGCAGGAGTGGTAGTAGAGGGCTTAGTAGGCTACTGTTAATTGTTAGTATCATAATTTGTTATGTAAGGCTTGCGTGCGGTTCCGAAACCGAAAGCACGCACACTCGTATTGGAATTTCCATGTATCTGAGTTTCCAGTTAGTGCATCGACGCATATCTTAATGCACGTCATCCACCTGTATATAAACAAACTTTTGAATTGTCATTCAGTGGTTCTAAATGTTTGTGTACCGTTCGGAGTAGCGTTCAAACTGACCAGAAATTTAAACTTACAGCGTTAACTTGTTTTAAGGTTCAAAAGTGGTGATAAGCTATATTTTGCAGACGCTGATAAAAAAACATAGGCCTACAAGTTTTACGGACCGCTGCAGAGGCAATATCACCCTCATCCTCGTTCAATAGGAAATTCAGCATCCAGAATGTTAGGTCAAGTTTTAGGGATTTTGCTTGCGACGGTGGTAATCATTTACGTGGCGGCTTCATGGGTGCGCGACAAGAGCACGAAAAAAGCCGAAACCTGTCCTCAGCAGGAGGTGGTGCAAGGCGAGAGGAGGACAGAGAGGCCGGCGAGCAGGGATGACTCCCTTCCCAAACCAATCAGTGTTAATTACCACTTCACGAGGCGCTGTAACTACAGGTGTGGCTTTTGTTTTCACACCGCAAAGACGTCCTTCGTTTTGCCCATAGAGGAGGCGAAGCGGGGTTTAAAACTTTTGAAGGATGCAGGTACGTGCTAAAAATGTTGTCATTTCAATTTTTCTTTTTTTATCTCGCAACTCATAGGGGCAAATCCATCGACTCCTATCGATGGGCTTCTCAAATAAAAGATTGAAAGATAACAAAATTAGTTAAATGTGATCATTGTGATATTGCATTTATTATCGCACGGCTTGCACACACGTGCGAAAACGCGTTAGCACACTGCATGCACGACAGATCTTTGACAGCTTGCATGGCTTAAATGTGTGTCACTGTCACTCCGGAAGATCGGGGATATTAGTAATCGCAAAGTTGAGTCGTTTCTACAATACACCTCAAATCTGGTGTAACTCGGTATACTGCACAATATTCAATTTTTTCTTTTACGATATTGCTCTACAAATACGCACGCATTCACATATACAGTAGGCCTACAGGGTATTGACCTCAAATCATAGAGGCACGCGCCCCCTGTAATTAACTTTAAAAATATTTTGTTAAGAAGGTGTTCGACACGTCTGAGCACCAGGTTAGCCAGGAAATAGTATTCAAACTAAGCCATATCTTAAAAGAACAGCCTAGGTTTATGAAAATTTCGTCAGTTGCAGGGCCCCCAGCACCCATACTGTGTGTCGTGCCAGGGACAGTTGACCACATGTGGCCAGGTCAAAGAAGGATACTCATGTGTATGAGGTACCCTCTACCAGGGCCGCAGTTTTTATTATGTGGACATTTTCTCTGAGTACGGAAAATAACCGTTAATTTAACCAGAGATGTGGCTGTGAATATCTATTGAAAAACCAATCTGTGGCCCTGGGAGGGGCTACGTATGTAGGCCTAACACTCGACCATAGACCCCATTAACTGTAAGGGGTTAACGTGGGTCTTCACTCACTCGACCCCCTTCCCAACCCATTCATAGCGATTTGCAACGTACCATATATGGCGACTGGATTTTATCGTCAGGTATGTCACATGATAAATGTATATTTTGATACTTAAAATCTTTACTGGTCCTTGCACAGTATTTGCAAATTAATTAAGGCCTTGATTTACCTTCATGCATGGAAGAAAAAGTACAGGTGTCTTTTTTATTAATTTAAATGATAAATACCAAGAAGTTTATATATAAGTTATATATATTATATATAATTATATACATTGCAGTTTGAATTACATGTAGTCTTAGGGTGCTTTCCCAGAGATTTAGATCGATCTAAAGATTAAATTATAGATCGACCTAACTCCCTGGGGGTTCACGCTAAATTGCAGTCAGCCGAGCGGACACCATAGTTAATTACCCCCTAACAGCGTTTAGTAGGCGGGATCGACAGACGCTTAAGCCGGCCAAGCTGACAGTAATCTAGTGAGACTCCCCACAGGGATAGATCGATCTAAAAATCTATGGAAATGGGGTGTTACACGTATATGTGGATGATACATGCGTCTAGTTTTTATACACTTGCTGCTGTGACAGATTATACAAAACCCTTCGGTTTGATATTTCTCACTAAAATAATGACTACAACAATTTACAAACAAGAGAAATGAAACAGGTTATTAGAGAAGAGCACATTAGGAGGTTGCGGTGGTTTAACTGCAAATCTGTGCAAAATGCGAGGTCGAATGTGCATCCGTGTATCTGTCGCTGACAAGTGTGTGGTTTGTATTGAAATTCCGTCCTGACGGCAATATTGAAGAGTACTTAAATCTACGCGTATGTAAACATGTATGGTAAAGCAATATACCTTGTTGAACTATTTATTTAGTTTGGCCTAATTGCAAACAGAGCACTGGTATTATAGTGGAATGTATCTTTTCCATACTTCAGCCACAAAAGCGAGATACTTTTGTGAAACTACTGAAATCGTCACGAGGACGACACTTTTGAAAATTTTTCATTGTGATATGCCAAGCAGATACACACATACAAAGGCAAGGCTCCTTTGTTAGGACGAGACACCCTTGCACATAAGTGCATTTGCACTCTGCACAAGCAGACGCACTCTCACAAGGCGAGGAACCTTAGATGAGAGAACCCAACACCTGAATCTTTGAAAACCATTGCGTTTAACACAGCACTGAACTGACCACCCCCTCTCCCATCCACCTATGCAGGACTCTGCAGCTGATGAAGGTCACTTGACGTGAAATAAAGACAGTCAGGAAATTACAATTTATCATATATATATATAAGTGTCCCACTTAAAAAGGCCATTCTCCACATATCAAATATGGCGGACCCTACATGAAAGAAGACTTGACTAATCCGCTGGTGGTCTCCCTGCCTCCACACGCGGTCTAGCAATTAAACCTGGGAGCCGTGATTTTTAAATTAAAATCCGTCTAATGGCGCGTGTGGAGGCGGGGAGACCACCGGCGGATTAGACGGCTTTTCTTTCACGTAGGGTCCGCCGTATTTGATCCGTGGATCAGGTGATCCTTGGACCTTCTGTTCTTCTGTTCAAAGCTTCAAAGCTTCTAACTAGGGGCGCTGTCAAATCACACGTTCTTATGGGCCCGGCCTTGGATCGTGTTATTTTGATAAGAAGTATTTTAACCAAGGCATGACATTGTGCTGACCACCCATGCAAGAATGTATATGTCAGGGAAGGCACTTGGACAAACTAACTGTTCTTTAATATAATTGCTTTCACTTAAGGGAGAAGAAGATACTCTCTGATCACAGGGTCTGTTACAAAAATGTGATTTTGTACAGTGTTTTAGTGGGCCTCTGTAATCAGAGGGTAGAAGAAGAAATTCAATGACTTCATTGACCCAACTGTCAAGTATACCCAGTATTCTATTCATTTTCTTTAAGACATAAATTTGAATAAATCAACTCTTCTTCGTTTTCTTTAGGGATGGAAAAAATTAATTTCTCTGGCGGTGAGCCATTTCTAGAGAAAGGCGGGCGCTATGTTGGTGAACTGACTCGTTATTGTAAGCAAGATCTCGGCTTGCCCAGCGTTAGTATCGTCAGCAATGGGAGCCTGGTAAAGGAGAAATGGTTCGAAGATTATGGTGAGTCTCTCTCTCTCTCTCTCTCTCTCTCTCTCTCTTGCGTTGCGCAATAAAACATGACATGAAATGAATAACTGTTGAAATAACCTTTTTATTTATATGTAACATGGTATGTTTTAGTTATTAAAGAAGATAGCCATGTTGCTGTCACCTCCTGTCCTCAACCTTAAATGAACATCGCTGCTTAATTAATTCATTTGACGACATAAAAATGCATATCACATCTACCTTTAATGACACTAAAATTATATTAAACTCCAGAATTTAGAGACGACCTCAAAACAATATCCCTAATCCTCTAGAAAATATTTGAGAGAAAAGTTAATGAGCTGAAATTAGCCACAAAATTCCAATTCCATGTGTCACGGACAGCAACATAGCTCTTTGACCTTACTGTGAGGTCAGAGGGTGATATTTATTTGACATACGAGGAATTTCGATAATCTTTTGTTGACCTACATGTACGAGTATGACTAGTTTAGATAATAAAAGAGTTCTATACATCTCTTTGAGATAATCTTTTGATGACCTACATATACTTAGTGTGACAAGTTGTTATTATATAAATGATTTGGATTAACTTAATTTTTAGTCATTTCCCAATGCATAAAAAATACTGTAATGCATTATTTCGACACGAATTTTATTTTAAAGCAATATACATGTAGTTATTAACTTTAAAGATCTACACACAACTGAGGACCAATGAAGGTGCAAAAGACTTTTATGAAATGTACAAACAATATACACAAATTTTAATTTAGGATCCAGTTAAATTCTACGGCACGTAGAGGTTTTGGAGAAGATAAAAATAAATAAATAAATAAATAAAAATACCCAAGTCAAACCAATAACTATTCTCAACTTGTTCTACATATATGAGTGTTTGTTTTCTATTATGAATCAAAACTGTATTCGAGTAGGTGCAATTGTCTCAGCGATTTCCAAATTACTCCAATTATACCTAAAAATCTCTTATGAAATGTAGGCTAGTACTAATGATACTTATAGTGTAAACTACACGCCTACATGCAGTGCCGCGAGCTTCCATTGACTTTTAGATTTCGTATTCTGATATTAAGGACTCATTTCCAGCGAAACTATAGGACTTTGTAGATCGATCCAACTGCACAGGGACTCCAGCTGAGATGAAGTGATTAACACACCTCCTCCTGGCGAACTTAGTAGAACACAAAGAATTTGGGGTTTATCCGAGTACGTTGGCAACAAAGGGGGGGGGGGGGGGGCGTGGTAATCTGTTAAACTTATTGCATTACTTTGTATCAGCGAGAGTCCCCGAGCGGTTGGATCGATTTACGTAGACCGACAGTTTCATTGGGAAAGAGCCTTAGAATCATAATATTAGACCTACGAAAAGGTTACGTGCATATTTTTACTGTTATATCAAATCATTTGAATTGCAATTTTGAGATATAAAACTACTATGCATATGATCACTTTAGGGGAATACCTGGATATCTTGGCAATATCATGTGACAGCTTCGACTTTGAAACAAATGATCTGATTGGTAGAAAGCAAGGACAAAAAGACCACGTGGCATCCCTGTTAAAGGTGCATGACTGGTGTAATCAATATAAGGTAAAAAATACTTGTATTGGGTCTATATTCATACATGTTGCTCTTACATTTCAAACATTATTCATATTGGAAAAATAAATAAATAAATGAATTACCGGAGCATACTAGTATATGACACGATGCAATTGCAGCAAAAGAAATTAATTCATTTGACGAAACACCCTTGACAAGAAAAAA